CTGCGTGGCCGCACTGATTTTGACCGCTAGGCCAGCGAGCGAGTGCAGAGAACTACGAAATATCAATCCGTGCGACTGTACACGGCCTGTACTAAGATACGAGCGATACTTTAACGACACATTAGCGATTCGATTTTATTATCAGCATACATTGGTACCGGGCATCGTTTATTTCTTTTTTTTTTTGTTGTACTCTGGAAACATGACGACAAGATCCCCTTCCAAATCTTACTTGTCTAACCTGGACTTAAGCACTTCGAATGAAGTGATGTATAATGTTTCTATAAGAAAAAGAAAACAACCGGACAATGAAATTCTATACGAAATTAAAACCATGCAGGCGAACTTCACACAGGTTTTACAAGACTTTCGGCGGGACCTGGATATTTCAGATTGAAAATATTTCAGATAGTATCAGATAGTATTCAAACAATTAGAAGTGACCTAGAAAACTACCAGTCACAAATAAAAAAGGATATCGATGATCTTCGGTACGAAAATAGTGCCATGAAACAAAAAGTAGAAAATCTCACTAAAGAAATATCGGGCTTGCAGGAATCAACGCGGTTTATTTCTAATCAACATGATGAACTTGGAAAGTGCGTCAGCAAGATTTCAGTAATTCAGTTGTAATAAGTCTGTGGATGACCACGAACAAACAATTAGGTCTCTTACGTCAAAGATGGATGGACTGGAGCTGCAGGCCAGACAGTGCAATATAGAAATATCCAATTTGCCTGAAAGGCGCGATAAAAATTTGCTGAATATAATTGAATCCATTGGCACGAAAATAGGATGTGCCATTAATCGCCGAGAGATTGTATCCATTCATCGCGTACCTCATGCTTCTCAGACCGGCAAACCAAAGAACGTCATAGTGAAGCTCACTTCACGTTTAATGCGTGATAATATCCTTGGCGCTTACCGTATTAAGAAGGGGATAACATCTACTGAACTGGGACTGTCGGGTGCCCTGCATATTATATATCTTAACGAACACCTTACTCTGCGTAATAAACAGCTCTTTCGAACTGCGCGAGAAGCGGCAAATCAGGCCAATTTCAGATATGTTTGGGTTAAACACTCTACAATCCTGGTGCGCGCATCTGACAACTCGCCTGTCATCCCTATATGCACAGAACAAGATATTAAGAAGATTAATAATAATACCAATAATTAAACGAGGACTGGCATGCGTTCATACTAATGATTCAATTTGTTATTATAATATTATAAGAAACATCGTTATATTAGTTTGTACTGGGCAGAGAATTACGTACGTGGAGGAGTACGCACTTTCTAATGTATTTTTTCATATATTTTTATAAATCATACTGAAGAAGCATTCATAAGTTTTTTTTCGTTTATTGTTTTCATATGTTGTTTTAAAGTAAGTTGTTACACTATCCAATCATATAATATTCGTTTATTTACATTCTTTATAGCACCAACTTCAAGATGACGCATAATCTGAGTGTATACTATCAAAATTGTAGAGGGATACGAACAAAACTACAAACACTATATATGAATATTCTGTCGAACAACTATGATATCATAATTATAACAGAAACCTGGCTGATTCCCGAAATATTGGACAATGAATTTATAGACCAGAGGTACGTTGTTTTTCGCTGTGACAGAGACCGTAATGCTACATATAAGAAAGATGGTGGGGGTGTCACGGTTGCTATACTACGTTCCTTGAGTCCTGTTTACGCATCATCTTCGCCAACCGTTGGTGACTCCCAATACCTAGAATACGTGTTAGTTTACTTACCTAGCTCTGACTTATAATAAACGGAACGTGATTAGTGCCGTCTATATCGGTAACAACTTGCCATCTACGGTCTATGATAATTTATTTAAGGAATTATTGGTGACGATTAACGATTCCGACACAGATATGTTTTTTTTGTTTGGAGACTATAATATACCGTTAGCGAACTGGATTCAAAGCGCACAAAAGAAGTCCCTTATTTGTACAGGATCCTCTCCAACTTGTTTAAGCCTACGTAATTTCATGACACTTTCTGCAGCTTCCCAGTATAATTGTTTAAAAAACTCTGATCAAAGAACCCTGGATCTTTTACTATCTAATACAGACTGCTCTGTTCTTCCGATTACGGTACCTTTGCTCAAACAAGATGATTACCATCCTTACTATACTACTTACGGTATATAATACTTACGGTCGATATCACAATGTTACCAAAAATGAAAAGAACACATTTAACAAAATATAACTATTACAAAGCCAACTACGAACAAATATGCAAAGAGTTGACAGACATTAAATGGAAATCTCTATTAGCTAATTTACCGGCCGAGGAAACCCTAGAAAACTTTTATGAATTAATATATGGCATTATTAGAAAACATGTTCCTCAATCTCATCCGAAAAATCATCATTTTCCAATTTGGTTCTTAAAATCATTAATACATATATTTAAAAATAAAAATAGATACTGGATTAAATGGAAGGTGTACAATAATAACTATGATTATTACATACACTCAATATACAGAAACAGATTTCAGAATGAATGCAACAAATGCTATAAAAAATACAAAACTTCTGTTGAAGATAGTATAAAGAAAAACATAAAATTCTTCTGGACTTACGTTAATAATCGTAAAAAAAAACCCTAGTCTACCAGCAGAAATGTATTACAAGGAACGGAGCACAAATGATCCGAATGAAATTTGTAATCTGTTCTCAGTATTTTTTGAATCTGTTTATGAACCATCAACTTTGAACCTTGACTCGTGGACGCCTGGTAACGAATCTGCCGATACTAGCAATATATTATCCAATGTTTACCTCGGTATTGATAAAGTTTATCAACAGTTAAATTCTCTGGATGTTACAGAAGGACCAGGCCCCGACGGACTCCCACCAATTTTTATAAAAACTACAGCCAAATTTATTGCAACATCACTAAATACGATCTTTAATAAATGCCTGTCTGAAGGTACTTTTCCAATTAGATGGAAGACTGCTAACATAGTTCCTGTCTATAAGAATGGCCCTAAACAAAACATTGAGAACTATAGACCAATATCAATTCTTTGTACTTATATTGGCCAAATTATTTGAAAAACTAGTGCATGATGAGCTGTACCCGGTCTTGAGTTCCCTTATAATACCCGAACAGCACGGTTTCGTTAGGCGTAGATCGACGGTATCTAATTTATTATTATTCACTAGTTTTGTTTTTGAAAATATGGACAACGGCATCCAAATAGACGCCGTATGTACAGATTTCCAAAACGCATTTGACAAAGTTGATCACAAACTATTACTTGATAAGATTGCCTTCAATGGTATTCGAGGGAACCTCCTCCGTTGGTTCTCATCTTACGGTTGTAACAGGTCGCAAAGAGTCATTGTTAATGGATATCATTCAGACCTAATCGATGTGTCATCAGGTGTACCTCAGGGATCCATTTCAGGCCCGCTGCTGTTTATTATATTTATAAATGATATTAAAATCTGTTTTAATAACACAAATTTTCTTTTACGCTGATGATCTAAAAATTTATAGAAGCATTTCTAGTGATATTGACTGTAGTTTACTTCAGAATAATTTAAACCATTTAACTCATTATTGTAGTATCAATAAACTCAAGCTAAGTATCCCTAAACGTAACAGTATTAGTTTTACGAAAAAGAAGAAAAAAATTAAATATAATTACAAACTTTGCAATAACTCATTAACAGTAGTGGATTCCCTGCGACACCTGGGCGTGATGTTAGATAATAAATTACATCTCTATCTACACATTGACTCCCTCGTTGCCAAAGGGTTTCGAATGTATAAATTCGTCATGAGAACTGCTACCGACTTCTCTCGTCTATCAACTTATCTTAACTTATACATTAGTCTGATTCGACCTCAAGTGGAATATGCGTGCTCAATTTGGAACCCTTACTATAAAAAATACTCAGAACAAATTGAAAAAATTCAAGCTAAATTCCTTAAGTCTATAAATTATAAAATATTTAGAAAAACTACGTCATACGAGGGTTTACTATCTAAGTTTGAAATGCTAACACTTCACAATAGACGAATGCTTCTTCAATCTGTAACACTCCATAGACTTTGTCACAATTTAATTGATTGCCCGGATCTTGTGCAACATATTAGATATAAAGTACCAATGAGAGTTTATTATCGACGGCGAGTGCGCTCCTACTCGTTGTTTAAAACGACGACCTGCAGAACAAATGCTGGCAAGCGAGTTCCTCTACGTCGTATTCTTTCTCATTATAATGATTTGTTTAGCAATATTGACATATTCCATTTGCCTGCTTCTAAATTTAAAAAAACTATTATTGATGCCCTGAGCTATTTCTTATTTACCTTTTATTTGTTTTAGTTTATTTAGCCCTACCCATCACACACGACAATTTTAATTTTAATTCTAATAGTAACTTGTGGATAATGCTATTGATTGTACGTGTACCTTTTGTTAGAAATATTTAACTCTGTTTGTAAACATTTCATGTACAATTGTTTATTATCCCTGAAAAATAAATAAATAAAGAAAAGAAAGGAAACCAGAGCTGATGCTAGCTTGATAAAAGACCATAATATTAAAGCTTTGGTATGTGACTACATCAATGAGTGAACTGTGCATAGAAAGGAGAGAACACAGGAATTTATCCAGGAAACATAGCTTGAACATAAGAAGAAAGTGACAAGTATTAACAGAGAACATCTTACACCGCCAAAATGCATTAAAAATCAAAAGTTGGATGAATGACAAAATATACCAACTTAAGAAACAAAGAAGGTAATTCAAGCAGACTGACAGTGCAAATTAAATAGGATTTTTTTTAAAGTTTAAGAAATTTGTAGCTTTCACATGCAAACAATGCATAATAATACAAATAGTAATACCTTGATAGCCTAACGGTTTGCACTGTGGGCACTGGATGAGAAGTTCCCGGGTTCGATACCGGTAGGTGTTGGCAGCTGCCTTAAATGCCATAGGACGCTGGAGGAAACTTCGGTGTATTTTAAATAAAAACTTGTATTGCACAGAGAACACCACTTTATTGCGACACCGAGAGAAGAGAGAGTTGCCACACGGCAATATTAATTAGTTTACATTGATGTTGCAATAAAACTATTCAAAATTCCCAACATGCTACCGCCCCACAAGGTGATAACTATCTGTACTAACAGATGCTATAACAATAGTTACATTTTACGTACCAGAACTGTAGTTTTATTTCACACTGTATTGCGGTATGACTATTTGAAAACCAAAAAAAAACTGTCACTTTAATCTAGAATAGTAAAGAAACAAAACTACACTTGTACGTTATTGAGTACTCAAACTACATATAGGTAATAAATTCTTAGCCCTACGAAAATGATTTCTTGGGATGGCATGCGATACCCTAAGGATTTACTGGTGAAGTGTTACATATTTCAATGGAATACTTAAAATAATTGCTTGTAAATTACAAAACTTATGGCATCACCATCAATCACACTTTTAGCTAAAAACTATTAACTCTTAATGTTACCTAATTTTACTCGCACAATTACTATCAGTCGCACTCTATAGGTAATACACAAATTTTATGTATGGCGCGGAGATGAGTTTTATTATTGGAAGTTCTAACTTCCACAGCCCGGACTTTTCCATCATTACCTGTGAACAATTTTTCTATTCTTGCCATGGGCCAATACATACATGGAACATTTTGTTCTTTTAAAATCACCAAACTACCAAGCCTAACATTACAATGCTCCTGTTTCCATTTGGGACGATTTTGTAATACATTAAGGTAATACTTATGCCACATTTTCCAAAACGCTTGTTTGATGTTTGTACATAATTGCCAAAATTTGAGTCTATTTTGTGGTACATCAGACGAATCGTTTTCTGGGTACATTGTTAACGCTGAACCTATGATAAAATGACCAGGAGTCAGATAACAATAATCGTTTGGATCAGAAGACAATGGTAATAACGGTCTCGAGTTGAGTACTGCTTCTATTTCGGTAAGTACTGTGCTTAATTGTTCATAAGTTAAAACATTTTTATGCAATACTCTTTTTAAATGGTATTTCGTACTCTTTACAGCAGCTTCCCAGAGTCCTCCAAACGTAGGTGAGTAACTTGGAATGAAGTGGAACTCTATGCCTTTCTGTGAAGCAAACTCATATACTTGCTGTTTGTGGCTCTGAGAAGACTGCAATGAGTATAATTCAGCTAACTGGCTCCTTGCGCCTTTGAAGGTACTGGCATTATCGCAGTGAATTTCGGTGGGCAATCCTCGTCTCGAAATGAATCTTTTTAAACACGCTAGAAAGGTTTCTGTGGTGAGGTCGGAGGCTAGTTCCAAGTGAACCGCCTTTGTTGTGAAACACACCATGACTAGTACATAGCCTTTACCTATTAAAGATCGTCTAACGCGTGAAAGTTTTACATCAATTGGCCCAGCGTAATCCACCCCAATTTTTTCAAATGGTCGCCTAGTAGCAATGACTCGACTGGCGGGCAAGGAACCCATCAGCTGCTTGGCTACAGCAGCCTTTTGTCTGAAACAAGTTATACATTCATGGGTAATTTTTTTAACTTCTAGCAAGCCATTCACAATCCAAAACCTTTGATTCAAGTTTGCCAGCACAAGCCTAGGGCCTGCGTGCAGCAATGTTTTATGTTCCCTTTTGATAAGCAAGACAGTTACAAGAGAGCCTTTAGGCAGTATAATAGGGTGCTTTTGTGTATAAGAAATGTCAGCATTATGCAACCTGCCACCCACTCGCAAGAGCCCTAACTCGTCAAGGAAAGGATGTAAGCCCTCTAATTTGCCCTTTATATGGCTACCCTTGCTTAGAGAGTCGATTTCATTTTTGTATATTTTTCTTTGATCATATTTAATTAAAGTCATTAGAGCATCGTTTAATTCCGAGCTGCGCAAAAAACTGGAATTAAATTTTTCTTTGTTTTTATTAATGTTATTAAGAAACCTCAATATGTATGCCAAAAGCCGTATCATTTTATTAATGTCAGACAATTTATATAAGCGCCCAAACACATGCTCAAGCGGATCTATTGATTGACACGCGAAATTGCTGGAAAACGCCAAACAGGGCTGAAACTCTGATAAATCAGTTGCCAGCGGAGCCTCGTAGCAAGCAGCAGCAGAAAACTCATACGTACTGCATTGAAGAAATTGCGGGCCGCGCCACCACAGGTTGTTGTCTCCCAGATCACCAGGCTGGACACCTCCACTAATCAGGTCAGCAGGATTCTCGTTCGTGTTGACATAGAGCCAGTTCCATTTATCTGTGTTTTGGCGAATGACATTTACTCTATTCCCCACATATGCTTGAAGCTTTGCTATTTCAGTATTTAGCCATGCGAGAACGATTTTTGAATCGCTGAATAAATGAACAGCTTTTATGTAAATTTTGAGCTTTAATGAATTGTAAACCTTTGTGACTAGTTTCGAAAGCAGAAGTGCAGCATTCAATTCCAATCTGGGCACTGTCATGCTTTTCTTTTGCAAAGGATTGATGCGGGATTTGGAACAGAGCAAATGCATGTGCACTTTACCTGAAGAGTTGATGAGTCGCAGATACAAACAGCATCCGTATGCCGTGGTACTCGAAGCATCAGCGAAGCCTATCAGCTCTGCTCTACTAAAATCTGAAACTCCGACATTTCGACTCAACAAAATAGGTTTCATATTATTTAAGTTATTCATGAATTTATTCCACTCCTGTTCTAATGCAGTGGGCGGACTATCATTCCAATTTTTGTTCGTTATGCACAACTTTTGCATAATGGCTTTTGCTATGACTATTATAGGACTGATAAAGCCCATTGGATCATACATTTTACCTATGTAACTTAAAATGCTTCTTTTTGTAACCTTTTCAACACTGAAAGGTTGAGGAGACTGTATTATAAAGTGATCCTTTTTTACATCATATTGCAACCCTAAAGTTTTCATATTGAAGTTATCTTTTTGTAGGTCTAATGTGTCGAAATACTGCTTGTCATGTGGAATATTTAACAAAATACTTTCATGATTCGAAGACCATTTATGAGGGTGAAAACTACCTAATGGGAGAAGCTTGCATAATTGCTTTTGAGCTTCCATAGTGACTGATAAGTCGTCATTAGAATATAAAATGTCATCCACATAACTATTATTTTTTATTACAGCTGAAGCTAACGGATAATCCTTTTCATTTCTATTAGCCAATTCCATCAAGCAGCGAGTGGCTAAATAACTAGAAGATTTTAAGCCATAAGTGACTGTATCTAGTCTGATACATTTAATTTTTTCATTAGGGTTGTCTCTCCAAAGTATGTTTTGAAGAGAAGTGTATGTAGGATCTAGCCTTATATTTCTATACATTCGCCTTATGTCTAATGTGAAAGTATGTTTTCCTAAGCGGAATAAAAGAATTATTTCAAATAAATCTCGTTGAACTACTGGCCCATTCAATTGCAAATCATTTAAAGAGATTTTTTTGTTAGTTTTCATAGAACCATCAAAAACAGTGCGCAGTTTAGTTGTTTTATTGTTTTCATTGAAAACTGCGTGATGCGGGAGAAAATAAACTGCATCTTTATTTAAGTCATACAACTCAATGTCCACATAGTGACCATGATTGAGCGACAGATATTCATGAATAAACTCTTGATATTGTTTAAACAAACAAGGATTTGCGTGTAATCTCTTTTCCAAATTTATAAATCTTTTTAAGGCAAAATGAAATGATTCTCCTAATGCATCATTAATTTCTGATGATGGTATCTTTAAAGGTAGGGCCACTTCAAATTGATTATTATTTAATTTGACAGTACTTTGAAATATTTGTTCGCAAAGTTCCTGTTCTGAAGTTTTTTCATTATAGACTTCAGGTACTTTTTCAGTAGACCAAAATTTTGCAAAGATTTCATTTAGACTCAATTCACATTTCAATACTACTTTGTTACAAGTTGGCCGTGCAAGGTGATGAGGGATGTTACCAGCAACAATGTTACCGAATACTGTGTTGACAAACTGGAGACTCGGGGCTGCTAAGCTGGTGTCTGCAGTCTTGGCGTGCAGCGGGTGCTTAGTAGTCTCTGATGGAGTGGTCACACTGACACTTCTTACTTGGTTTGGTATCAGTGCCTGGAAAAAGACATCAGCACCTAATAACATATTTATTTCACCTGGCACGTTAAATTGCTCATCGGCCAAATCGAAACCTTTAGGTATTTTAATATTTGAGCAATCAAATTTATAATGCGGCAAGTTGCAAGTTATATGCTCAATTATTTGAAAATTCACAGTTGTTTTGAATGGTGTTTTCAAAGAATGTAATTCTATTGGAATACAAGCCTTAATGGTGCTTTTAGCATTGGCTATGCCAATGATATTCATAGAATTTTGCTTTGGCTTGCCACCAAGTAATTGCACAACCTTGGTGGTCACGAAGGAAACCTGTGAACCACTATCCATGAGAGCCTTCACATGGTACTCGGTGCCATCCTTCCCTATAACCTTAATTCTGGCTGTGGGAAGAAGCACATTGTTATTATTATTATTGATATGTCCTGTCAATGACACAGGAGGTGCGGGTGGAACTGTATTGCGATGCAACAAAGTGTTGTGTTGGCCTTTGCACTCTGAGCAACGGAAATGAAATTTGCATTTTCCTGAATGCGCACCTAAACATATGAAACACATTTTATTTTCTTGAATGAATTGAACCCTTTTGTCCACAGGTTGTAATTGAAATGATTTGCAAGAAAATATTTTATGGTCTTTGGACTTACAGTATCTGCAAGTTGATGCTGCTACCCCGACGTATGATGCTACTCTGCTGCTGGGACGTGCTTGCTGCTGAACATGACACTGTTCGACGTTTTCCAGTGCCAATGCTCTCTTTTCCAGGAATTTCAAGAAATCTTGCAACTTCGGCTCAATCTCGAGATCCCTCTCGAGTTGATACGCACGTGCCGTGATGGAATCTAATTTCCGAGATAAAATACATAACAAAATCGTATCCCAGAACTGAATATTTGCATCAAGATTTTTAATTGCGGCTAATTGCTGTGTAATAGTTGCAATGAAACTCCTTAAATTGTCTGCAGTTGACCTAACGATTGGTTTTAAATCTAAAATGTTACCTATGTGTTCTGATACCATTCTGTATTTATTGTCGTACCTGCCTTTTAATAGGATTATGGCTTCATTGTAGCTGTCTGCACACACTGGCAGATTTTTTATTAAGTCGAACGGTTCACCACGCAAAAATGACCTTAGGTAATACAATTTTTGAACCAAATCGAGGTTTTTGTCTTTGTGAATCATTGAATCAAACAAATTGATGAAAGGAATATAGTCTGTAAACTTACCATCAAAAGGTTGGATTGAAATTGGAGGTAAATTTTTTGACATTTTTGTGGTTGGTGGATCGAGTGGAGAGGTATTCAAGCTTCGCGTTTTTATGGCCTCGTCGAGAGCTGTTAAAATTATGAAATAATTACTCTCAACCTGCTCAACATCTTCACTATCTTTTGGATTTAAATACAAAATGTCTTGGCAAATTTTTTCATAATTGTCGAAAACGGTTATCAATCGCTCACGTTTTGATGACAATAAGTCTCGATTGCATTGAGATAAATCGCTAATAAAGGCTAGTAATCTGGTAATAGTACCTTTAAGATAGCCGCGTGTAGCGATCTTTTTGTTTAGCTCAGCCTCCATTTTATTGCTTGCCTGAACCACAGTATACACCAAGCACAAATCACTATCTTAAAGCTATATGTTGCACAAAGAATAATTCTAGAACAGTTGCACGTAACACTTAAAAACTACACTTGCAACAGGGGAGTTTCTTGAAAAGAAAAAATGTCCGAATGGCGGGCACATGGCGGGCGTCTTGTTCGCGCTCGTTCCTTTGTATTGCGCTGCGAGACGAAAGATGCCAGCGCAGCGATTGATTCAGGAACAGCTCGATCGAAACGTAAAAAGATCGTGCGTCCTGCTCGCACTCGCGCCACACGGTGTATTGCCGCCTCTTGTCGATGACAATTCGAACTTGTGTCTCTGTCGCCTCCGTTGATTATAAAATTTTTTGTCTTGCTCACTCTTGCGGCCGCTATCTGCGATGGATGAGAGCTTGCGCGGGAGCAGTAGCCGCTTGCGGTGCTGTTTTGGCGCTTGAAAAACTCGTACGATACGAAGTAAGCGACCAAAATGGCGTTAGCGATTGCACTCTGCACAGAAGTTATGATGGAAATGTCTTCTTTGATGTAGATCACGCAAAGTTTCTTCTTTTCTTATTTGAAGGACCAATGTTGGCAGCTGCCTTAAATGCCATAGGACGCTGGAGGAAACTTCGGTGTATTTTAAATAAAAACTTGTATTGCACAGAGAACACCACTTTATTGCGACACCGAGAGAAGAGAGAGTTGCCACACGGCAATATTAATTAGTTTACATTGATGTTGCAATAAAACTATTCAAAATTCCCAACAAGGATCAATTTAACAAATTAACTTTTCTAAATGGTTCTGGTCTTGGTATTCTATTGTAAGACAATCACCTGGTCTGAAACTAGGGAACTCTCTGTACATACTCTTAATGAGTATTAGAGCAACAGAATCCCAGAGCAGAACCAATTTGCAAAAGTTCATTTCCCAAATTGGTTCTACTGGGAATCGAACCTGGGACCACGAACGATGGAATTTATTCCGGGGCATAACTCAGAACACCCAGGCCAAAACAACTTTCGAAAAGTTCACATTTAGTTTTATAGTTGATCGAGTTGATTTTTACGATTTTAAAAAAAATTCTCGAGCAACTCGAGAAATCGGGTAAGAGAATTCTCGAAACTCAAGAAAAAAAAAGTCAGACACCCTAGCTCGTAATAAATGGCATTGTATAAAATTCAACATTTACGTATAAAATTTATTTATAAATAATAAAGGCTACTCCATTATACCTGTGTTCAAGTAGTTTTCATTAGAAGCTACATATGGTGCATTTTGGTAAGATTCTAGTAGAAGCTGAATGTGGTGTTTTTTGCGCCTTTCAATTGTTGCAAGCAAAATTAGGCAGTACTGCAATGAGACATTACAATTTAAATTCAACGTTTTAGCTTTTTCATATTCTTTTACATGTCACTACGTTGAAATAGGTTGACTGGGGACATTTTTTCGTGGTTTTTGTATTAAACCCGTCGTCCGTTTATTTGTAAGTCAATGTTAGGTATGCACGTTCATTCCGTAGTTAGGGCAGCTCCTTTCTTTTATTTTTTTTATATCATCCTCTAAGAATGTTGCTGATGCTGACGCAAATGAATTTTTATAAGTATAGTTAATATTTAAAGGAGTCTTTTAGAAGGGCTTAAACTGTATTAATTTAGATTTGTTTACATTAATTTCTAGGTTGTGTAGATCCACCTAATTAGTGATTTTATTTTGTATTGGGTTCAATTTAGAATTCAGTTCATTTTTGTTGTGGCATGATAATAATATTGAAACGTCACCAGTAAATATTATACATTCGTTGTTCAGTACATTTGGAAGTGCATTAATGTAAGTTAAAAAGGGTGTACATCCTAAAACTGCCTTGTGGCATGGAAACGTTAACTGGAATTTCATCAGATCTATAATATCTATGATTTCTCCTGTGTTAAGGTTTGTGTTTTATATTTCTACAATTTGTGATCGATTTTCCAAGTATGACTTCAACCATTTATATGACACTCCACGCATTGCATTTAAATACAAATTATTTAGAAGAATATCATGTTTTGTTATCAGAGATTGAGCTATCGCCTGTTACTTATTCTAGTGGCTTCATTTACAATATGATGGAAATTGAAAGACAACATTAAATTACACAGAGTTATTTTCTGTTTTATCAGTCAGAAAATCAACATTATGGTAATCGCATATAATTTACATTTTTATTTACATCTTTGATACAAATAAGTTTCAATAATTTCTCAAGATTGTTATATCATTATATAACAAACATTGAGGCATTCCTCAATGTCTCTATTCCTATTTAGCCAGTAAATATTTATAACAGTATGTTTAATTTTATGCAATTCTAAGGCACATATTTCAAAAATCGATTATATTGACATTGAACTAATATCTTTGATGTTCGTTATAAACCAAAGCATTTTTTATCAAGACACAGACGCCGCCTCGCTCTTCATGATGACGACTAAAAGATGATCCTATATCGTAGTTTTTAATTTTTAGTAAATCCATCCAATCTTGCGAAAAACCAGGTTGCATGAAGTTTGGGCTGTTCTTCTAATAAAGGTTCGAGTAGACGTATCTTATTTTTGATGCTGCGCATATTCTGGTAAAGAACACAAAACTCAGTTTAAGAAGCACGTTGTCCTACTCGGAGTAGCTTTATACTATCCGGTTCAATGGTCAATTGACAGGACTATAGTGTACGCTCTGCGTCCATTTCTTCGAGTCTCAACAAGAATTTTAATAAGATTTTTTCTGACTTGAAGCGACTCCGGTTCTAGCATTTCTGAGACAGGCAATCCTGTATTTTTGAAAAGGCGTCGGTTTTGAAATATTTCTTTGGTGACACTTTTACGCAAAAGTTCAATTAGCAGTGGCCTTCTACATCCTCGATTTCCCTTACATCCTCAATACTTCCCTCCAGGTCGATATTAAGGATATCTCTGAATGCAAACGTTATTCTGTTATAAAGTTTATATTCAGTTTTCCGTTTGTTTTCCTCTAAGTCGAAGAAAATAATTTTCTTGCCACTTTTTTCTTGATGTTTTTTTATTAACTGGATAATTGTGAGTAACTTTGAGTTATTTGCAAATTTTCTGTTTCTGTTTGAAGTTTCTGATTCTCCAATCATAGTTTAACTATCATGTTATGGATCCTGTCGATGTCTCTCTTGAATTGTTCCTGTTCTGATGACAGCATATTAATAGATTCGGCTATTTCTTGTTTTAATTACTCTTTGAATTAAGTAAATTTCAGCTCGCTTAATAGAGTATCCAATTTCCTATCAAGAAGCTATTTGGTCTAAAAAGTTTGTGTTGATAGGGTCCCGGGATGTGGCCTAACCTTTGTTGATATGTTCGATTGTACGCCCCAGGAGATTAAGATCATCTTCAGAGCATACGTCGTCGTTTGTGTTTGAAGTTTTTTTCTTATTGTGAAATTGTAAATAGATATATTTTGAGAAGTATCAATCATTGGTGATAACTGCGAGTGCAACGGGGTGTTGTCGTTTCTGCAGGGACGTGTACTTTTTGCACATATTGGGCAGATCCAAGTGCGTTCTAAGTTATGTTTGATTCCATTGAAATAGTCTTCTGGTATACGAACACATGAATAATGGTAATGTTTGCTACATCTGCTGCAAGCCAGTAATTCCCCTGTGGATATATGTTTACCGCAGGCTAAGCATTCCATCATTTTGTGGGTAGATGTAAAATGATCGAAAAATGACTTACGTTGCACTGGTGCATAATAGGATCTAAGGCGCAGGTCAATGGTCAATGATCAATAGCAAGCGGCCAGTGGACACGGCGTAGATGAATCACATCGCGAGTTGTTCTAAGAGGTCGCGCAAGGGAGTTAAAATAGTTTTTAAGTACATTAGTTTGCAACTTCACTGTTTTTACACATTTCAGGACGATTTTTCCATGATTTTGTAGGAAAAATGATGATACTTTAACATTTTCTTTATTTGGAATCAGATAAATAAATTTGGCACGGTTTTGAGAACGGAAATCTCTGTTTTTAGTAGCAGTAGAGCTCCTTGTGAAAGAGTTCGTCCAGGGCAGTACTGCCACCTTGCTTATTTCTACCGCCAAGCAGTGATGTCAGCATTGCCGTGTTCCGGTTTTGAAAGGTAGGGGTGCTGGTGGTGCCTGTAGCACCTGGGACTTGTCAACTTATGTCTCAGGGTGACCGGCGCAGTGGCAGTGCCCCTCAGATCTTTGCGATTTAAAGCTCTAAGTGGCACTGCAACTGTTATGGACCAGCGTGTAGCTTACCATCAGACGCAAGACTTGTTCGTCCCGTCAATTGATATTATTTTAAAAAATCGTGTGAAATTCTAAGCATAAGACAACTTTTCGTTTTATGCATTTTACTCAAAAAACATAAAGACTTGACTCTACTACATACCTATCTACCTATCTTACGAAAATGGTGCTTTGACATAGTAGTTTGCAACCAATAATGCAATATACGCACGAGGTTCGTTCAAAGATTTTTCATATACTTAAGAACGTATAGGAAATGAAACTATTCCGGATTTAAATCGCGTAGAATTATTTTTTCGGGACCTGTAAAGGGCCCGAAACGTCGGTTTGTTTGAAAAAACAAAATATACGCGAATTAAACCCGGAAAATAGTTTCATTTCCTATGTGTAACAATCGCGAAAATCTAAGAACTGTATATTAAGAACGTATGTTTAATAGAATTAACAAAGAAAATTCTGTTTATACACTAAATAGTTCTGAATGCAAAATCTCCTCGTGGTTACTTGTCCTCGGCTATGACAATAACTAAGCAATATTTGAATTTTCATTTTTGCACACATTGAGATAGCCCTAGGAAAACCCTGAATCGCCGGTGCCATGGCCACACACATAGGTAGACAACCACAAATTACACCCAAACTCACGAGGAATAAATGTAGACCATACAAATATTTCTCCCGACCCGGGAATCGAACCCGGGACCTCTGCGTGGCTGTCCAGCATGGTAACCATTCGGCTACGGAGGCAGTTAAATAGTTCGATAGTCTTACTATTTTAAATAATATATATTTTAATCACTGCTTTTGATTCGCTTATATCGCTTAATGCGTGCTCTAATGTCTTTCACCTACAAATACATACCCTCTTTCTGTCACATACGCACACGCATACACACATTCACACGCTTACTCACATTTACCCATGCACTCATCCTTTTGCATTCTTTAACATTTTACGGAGATTTGATACTTCTTACTTACAAAAACAGTTTTCATTTTTTTTTGCCAATTTTTCAGTGTTTTAATGTAACTGTTACCCTCCAAATTTTTCAAATTGTTTAGTTATTTTGTATGAAGTGATCACCAACTTAGACTAAAGCTTATGGTATCAGCGGGGTAACTCGCTGTAAGCTGATACACAGGTTAAACCCTAGTGTAGTAGAGTGTTCGATCTTTGTATTAATAATTATTGCAAACTAGTGGAGTAATTTCACAAAAAAGAATTGAATACCAATTCTATACAAATTTAGGTTAAACACAAGTTCGGCCGCAGATGCTTACATAAATTGCAATGTGCAATTTATCCTTAGCCTTGTTATAATTGACGATCTTGTATACAGTTTTGTACCTAAATTATAAAAGCTTAAATACTAGAAAGTAAGACTAGGATTAAATTATATGAATAGAATTGGATCCCCGCGGCAAGGTGCCCAAG